CATCAAATGACATTTAAAAACCAGCACTACGTGTCGGTTAATCATAGCGAGAGGGAGCTGCTGGCTAGCGGGGAATATCCCCTCTTAAACCTTGTCTGCAGAGAAATTCAATAAAATTCCCAGCTGACTGAAGCTCCCCCTGCCCAAGGAGAGCCCTTGGAGCTGCTGCAGGAAGCTGAACCCCGAAGCACCTGCTGGGGGTGCAAATACAGCAGAGGCTGAACAGGAGCACGTCGGTGCTGGTGGTTTAAAGGAGGATTTTAAGTGAAAAAGCTGCTCCCTGGGCCAGATTTGATCTCTGAGTGCTGCAGGGTTCCCGTGTGAAACTCCCACTTCTGCACCAGCACCTTCTCCTTTTATGCTCAGCTCTGGTTGGGGCCCCAAAGTTCATGACAAGGGTTTTAAATTTATTTATTTATTTTCAAAATAGACATTTAAAAACTGCCTAAGCAGCCTTGCCAATGTTGCTGAGACACAAATCTCATCCTGGGTGAAACACTGCCTGCCCAAATCCTCTGTCCTTCTCTCAGGCAGGCACACACAGCCCCAGGCTCCCAGAAAAGGACCACGTTCATCATCGTGTTAATCAGTTCACACATTAATCCTGCCCTGAACTTTCCCATCCACCGCACAGGTGCGATTTCCACCCAGATCCTGCAAGGCCAAACCCACAGATCCCTCACCCTGACAGCTGCCTAAAGGCTGCTGAACGATTTCACCCAACGCTGAAAAAACCCACGGAGAGCCGGCGTGAATCCCCGCGGAACGGGGGAAACCCGGCGTGAAAAAGACGGAGAAAAAAAAAAAAAAAAAAACCGCAGCGGTGCAGGAGAGGGCAGAACCCCTTCCCTGCCGGCAGCTCTGCCCTGACCCCCGCACCAGCTCGTTTTTGGCAGCAGCCGCAGCCGAACGTGCGGCACCCCCGGCATCCCCCGGCCCTGCGCACGAGTTGCGTTACCTTGGCAGGGACCTTGCTCTGCGCGCTGCGGAAGAACGAGGTTTTGGCCGTGAAAAAACAATCCTCGAGGTCTTCATCCAAGCTGCAGTAGCCGCTGCTCATGCTGCTGCTGCTGCTGCTGCCGATGGTCATGGGAGCCGGGCAGTGGCGAGGGGCTGCGGGCGAGCCGGGGGGCTCGGGGGGCCGGCGAGCATCGGGGTCCCCGCAGCGCTCACATCCCCGGCTCGCCGCTTATCTGCAACAGCTCCTTGTGCTCATCCTGCCGAGCTGCTCCTGCTTAACAGGCGGCCGTGCCGGGTAACCCTTCCCTTGCCGCACCCTCCTCCCTGCGCGGCGGCGCTGAGCCGGCATGGAACGGGCACGGCTCCCAGTTCGCTCCCAGTTCGCTCCCAGTTCGCTCCAGCTGCGCTCGCCGCTCCCGGGGGTGCCCGCGCAGCAGCGGCAGCAGCATCGCCTCCCCTTCCTGCCCTCGCCTCGCACTGCCGCAGCCCGGCCACTTCCTCTTGCAAAATTTCTCACCCCGCTCGCAGCCGAGGTGCTGGGCTTGGCCCTGGCCCCTGGGGATCCCTGGGGACCACCTTGGAGACACAGAACGGGACCCCTGGCATCACCCTGGAGACAAAACGGGACCCCTGGCATCACCCTGGAGACCCAAAACGGGACCCCTGGCATCATCTTGGAGACACAAAACGCGGTGCCACAGAGGGCTGGGAGCTGCTCCGTGCCTGCTGGAGCATCCCCGGGAGCTGCCGTGGCATCACCTGAGGGAATGGAGGTGGTGGGGAAGGGGGGAGGCAGGTGAGGATGCAGCTCAGACTCCCCTCGGGGTGCCAGGAGCCATCACGAGTGGGTGCCTCTGTGCCCGTGGGTGCCTCTCTGCCCTGCAGCTGATTTCAGAGCAGCAGGAGCAATTTCAGCACCCAGACTGAGGCAGCTTCGACTGCAGCCCAGGAAGAAGCCGCTCACCTCCTGGGTCCTGCTGTTAGAGCAGCCCTGACCTTCCTGCTTGGTGAGGATCACAGGGATTTGTGGGGCTGGGAAAGGGAAGGGCTCTCCTGCCTTCAGGATGCCACAGCAGGGACACCTTCCACCGTCCCAGGCTGCTCCAAGCCTCATCCAGCCTGGCCTTGGGCACTGCCAGAGATCCAAGGGCAGCCACAGCTGCTCTGGGCACCCTGTGCCAGCGCCTCACCACACTAAAAGGGAAGAATTTCTTCCCAAGATCTCATTTCAACTTGCTCCTCCAGACCTTCCCACCACAAGCCACCACCCAGCACCAAAACCTCTCCTCTTGACAGATTGCAGATGTTGCTCCAAACCCTTCCAGCTGTATCTGTTGAAGAACTTCAATTGCTACAAAGCTTTGAGAGCTCCGTGCCCACCACAGCAGCATCCCATGAATACAAACGGGGATGGAGATGGAAAGCCTGGCAACATCTGCAGCTCACAAAGAGGAAGGCAAGAATCCAAGAGCCTTATTTGCAGAGGGAATAAATAAGCCACGTTCTTATGGCAGCAGCGTGTTCCTGCAGCAGCACAACCCCCTCTGCTCCACAGGGATAAATTTAGAGGAGAAAGAAGCTTAAATTGAGCATGTGCAACACCAGCAGAAAGTGAGGGTTGGGAGCATCAGCACTGGGGTCTTCTGTGAAGCCTCAGCCCAAAAGTTTCCCAATGGAACCAGGGTACAACCTCTGGATGCTCCATGAGATTCTCCAAGAATCCCTCATTTATTCCTTGCAGTCACCTGCTTGGGACATCAGCTCCATAAAAAAATAGAACAAAGCCAAATAAACCAAATAACTTTGACCCCTTTGTTCAGCAGCAGCTCCACACAATGGTTACCTGCACATCAGCCCCCCAAAACCCCAGTGACCCCGGTGCCCTGCACCAGCTCACAGCACAACACCTGCCCTGCCAAATCCAGGGAGTTTGCTGGTTCCCTGGTGCTGCTGAGAACAGAAGAGGCTTCAGCAGAGTCTTGATGTCACCCTGGGAGGCTGATCTGGGACCCAAATGTAAAACACTCCTAAATACTTAACTGGATCAAAGCTCAAATTATTAATGCCTGGTATTACATGGTAACAGTCCTTAAATAGGTGATATTAAAATAGTTATTTCTCTGACGCTTCCACTTTGCTTAATTTTGGTAATATGATTTAATGACTTCCAATTATGCCAGCTATTAATTTTTTCGTGTGTTTTCAGGCCTCTTCCCCTCCTGCCAATGTATTCAGGCATCCTGTTAGTCTCCTATTGGAATATTGACATTATTTTCCCTCCATCCTCCTCCTCCCCAGCAGCAAAACCTGCCTGACCAACAGAAACCCTGCAGGAACGTGGCTGCCTGCTCAGATCAAGCAAACCTGGCAATGATTTGTCCCTGAATATCCATTATCCTTAAGGAATAATGGAGCTTTAGTGCAGAGATTTACCCTCATTAACCCTCAAATCAGCCCCCACACCCCCAGCACGGCCACAGGAACCCAGCCAGGCCTTTGCTGTGCTCAGGATTCCGAGGTGCAATCCCCAGCTGGGACTTTGGGATGGGCTGATGGATTTCTGTCTGCTGCTGGAATTGGAGAGACACTTTTTATGTCACAGGATGCCTCCCCCTGCCCAGGGTGACAGCAGGGCCGTGGCAGGGTGATGGATGGCCACGAGCACAGGCTCCCTGTTTGTTATTAGGCCCATCAATAACCCTGGCTGGGGTGATCACCCTGAAGATGAAACGAGCTTTTCTCATTTTTCCAAGAGCTCAGCATTGCTGGGGGAAGCCCAGTGACATCCTAAGGAGATGTAACCACACACAGATTTAACTTCACTCCCTTATACAAACACCTGGAGTGGAGAATTCACTCTGAGCCCTTTTATAATGCAGAATTTAGGAAGATCAATCCCGTTCCACTTCAGATCTCTCCTGATCATTTTATTCTGAGTAGCAACTGCCCAGCAAAGGATGGATGAAAACCAAACCCTACAGCCCAAACAGAAACCCCGTGTTTGCCCTTGGAAAAGTGCAAAATGTTCCCATCCCCAGTTCTGCACGAGCACATCAAGGTCCTCCAGGAAGAGGGACATAAACAGGGGGATGTAATGAGGGACAGAACACAGAACCACAGAATCATCACGGCTGGAAAAGACCTTTGACTGAATCCCACCACACCCACTAAGCCAGATCATCGAGTGCCACATCCACTCGTTGTTTGAACACTTCGAGGCGTGCTGACTCCACCACTCCCCTGAGGAGCTGTTCCAAACATTTCCAGAAAGCACACGGAGCCTGAAAATGCTCCATCCCAGCCAAATCCATCCAGGCAGGTCTCCCAGCATCTCCCATCTCATCCGGAGGGTGAGAGCCTCCCTGGCCCTGCAGCCTGAGCCACCCACGCAGGAGCCCCAGACACTGCAGGACCCCGGGGGGATTAAAGCAAAGCTGAGCCTTCCGGAGTAAGTCTGGGATTAACTGCACATCCTAACACAGATTGAAGAGTCTCCATCCCCCGGGACCACTGAAACTCTCAAAACAAGGCTGGCACCCAGCACTCCTTGGAAATCCCTGCTCGTGCCCTGGGAAATGCATCTGTGCTGCTGATGGCAGTGCTGGGACCATCCCATCCCATCCCAGTATCCCATCCCAGTATCCCATCCCATCCCAGTATCCCATCCCAGTATCCCAATTCCCTGCAGGCACTGGGATTGGGGCCATGCAGAGGTTGATGTCTCTGCAGGGCACCGCTCTGCCCCAGGTGACAGCAGCTCAGGTGACAGCGTTTTGAACACAGGGCTCCTCACACACCTTTCCAGGGGAGGAGGTGATGCCAACATTCCCAACCTCCATCCCGGCAGAGCACACCCAGCCAGGCTGGGCACCACGGGCTGCAGGTGGCACATCAGTGACACTCACAGTGACACTCACAGTGACACTCACAGTGACACTCACAGTGACACTCACAGCTGGGCTCTGACCTGCCCTCCCTCCTGGAGAACCCCCCGGGAGCAGGGAATCATCTCTGTGTCCCCCCAAGCCCTCCCCGCGTACCTGGCTGCAGGCTGGCAGCAGCGTGCCCTCCGGGGACAGCTGGCTCTGGCACTGGCCCGGCCGGCGACAATCCAGCTGGATGAGGCTGCGGCACTCCTGGTGACACGTGTACCTGCAGTCTGCAGCGACAGGAGGGACAGCGTTGGGTACCCAGAGCTGGGGAGGGCTGGGGGACAGCGGGGGGAGCCAGGGGAAGGGATGGATCACAGCCAGAGGGATTCCAGAGCTGGAGCGGGAACATTCCATGTGAACACACATGTCCATGTGAACACACATGTCCATGTTCACACACATGTCCCCAGTCACACACATGTCCCCAGTCACACACATGTCCCTGCTCACTCCTGCAGGGGAGGAGAGGCACCACAAAACCTCATCCAGAGCCAAAATCGCTCCCACACGCTCTCCCCAGGGAATCCCGTGTCCCTGGAGCAGCACAAGCCACGTTCGTGCCACACATCCTGGACGGGGAAATCCTCAAATCCCACCAAACCTCGGGGCAGCCCGTGCCAGCTCTGCTCCTGGGAGGTGCCACCTGCAGCAAATCCTGGCCAGTGCACAGGGAGAGGATCCTTCACCTCCCACCACCGGGAAATATCTTTGGGCAGACATCACATTGTTTAAAGTCATTAAATAGCACAGAAGGGTTTGGGTTGGAAGGGACATTAATGATCATCCAGTTCCACCATCCCAGGCTGCTCCAAGCCCTGTCCAACCTGGCCTTGGACACTTCCAGGGATCCAGGGGCAGCCACAGCTGCTCTGTGCCAGGGCCTAAACATGAAATCTCCAAGGGCCAGCTCTGGTGACAGAGGCCACCAGCAACCCCAAATCTGGATGTGCCACCAGCAACCCCAAATCTGGATGTGCCACCAGCAACCCCAAATCTGGATGTGCCACCAGCAACCCCAAATCTGGATTTGCCACCAGCAGTCCCAAATCCACCCTGGAGGGGGCAGGGACACATCCCAGCCCAGCAGAGGCTGTGATCTCCTGTCCCCAGGTGCACCAAGGCATTTCTGTAGCTGTTTTCTTTGGATGCTGCCCCAATGTCAGACATTAACCCATTCGTGCCCAGCTGACTCTGCACAGACCAGCTTTAACCCCTTCAGGCACAGGGTCCTGCTCACCCCCAGCTGCAGAGGGGCTCGTTTGGCACAGCCAGCTCCAGTTATCCCACATTCATGGCCACCCCTCCTGCTAATCCCTCCCTGCAAGTCCCAGCTCCTCCAAACCCTCCTTCCTCCTCTTTAACGGCCCATCTGAGCCTTTTAATTTTTAACTGCCGGACAAACAGCCTTAAATTTACTTTTTACACTGCCCAGAATTCCTGAGCGGTCACCAACCTGGAAAAAAATAATTATACCCTAAAAGCAAGGCAAGAGTTCACTCCACAGAGGGATGTGAGTGCCTGGCCCTGCACCAGCCCCAGGACCTTGCTAAGAGCCACTCAACTTGTATTTTAAATACACATCTTCTTCCTTTTTCTTCCTTCCCTTTTTTTTTTTTTTTTTTTCCCTTTAGCATTTGGGTCATTGGTTTTGAATGTCTGTGGCTTGCAGGAAAGCAAAGGAATATCCCATGTTTGGTTTGGAAACCGATTTCTACTCAGCTCTGGTGAGTTCTCCAGTGTGTGAGAATGAAGGAGAGGAGCTGAACCACTGCTGGGAGCTGGTGCCTGAGGGGGGAAACATCAATCTCCAGGGGATACAGGGAAATCATTTATCATTTAACATTCATCTGGCGTGAGCTGTCTGTCATTCTCCTATTCCAAGTCAGTTGTCTCAAGTAAGCCTGGGGGAAAAGCAGGGAGATTTGGCTTTTTTTTTTTTTTTTTTTTTTTTTTTTTTTTTTTTTTAATTAGAGATAAGCTGCAGTTACACAGTAATTTAATGCATGACCTTTCCAGCAACTGGAAAAGCCTTTTAATGGGGGGACATTGGCCAAGTCTTTGCTGGAGCTGCCAGCTGGAGAATGCTCCAGCTGTGGGTTCACCTGAGCATCTGTCACCTCCACAACGTCCCCTCTGCCCAGATTTTCACATCTGGGCAGCTCCAGCGTGCAGGGCAAAAGCAGCCAAAGGTGTGGCACAGGTAATTTGGACCACAGAAATGCCAATTCCCAAGCACTTCCTCCGGATCAGGCCCATTGTGGCATTTCTTTGTGGGATTAAAGTGTGACACCTCCTTAGTCACCCTCACCTATTAACAGACCCTAATCACTGGCGATCCGGTGGGGAACACTAATTTTAGAAACCCTGCACAGCTTTAGGAAGCAGCCACGTGACCAGTTTGCCAAGAGGAGCAGGATGCCTCCACTTAGGCTTCAAGATAATTTCCATTCCAGTCAAACAAAGGAACACTTGGAAATTGAGGGGTTTTTTGGTTAGTTTTTTTTGTTTGTTTGTTTCTTTCTTTCTTTTTAGCTTGAGGTGGTGCTCCCGTGCCTGACGTCACTGGGGTGACCTCAGGATGTGGCACCTGTGGCACCAGGACAGCAGGAAGGGACAGTGCATCACCCAGGGAAGGGTCTCAGTCCTCCTGCAACCCTCCCCGGGGGCACTGAGCCAGCCCCAGCCCTGCAGCTCCATCCCTGCACTCCCTTCCTGGCAGTTTTAGGTCCAAACCAGCTGGTTTGGGTTCATTTATTGCAAACTCTGGCAAGCCCCAGGGGCTGTTTCTGTTTGTGCAGAGCAGGGAAGGCTCCCTCAGTGACAGCCACCCCTCTGTGCTGTCCCTGTGTCACTGCAGTGTCTGCAGCACAGCCCCAGCTGCTGGCAGATGCTCTGGAGCAATTATTTAACAAAACCCCAAATTTTCCTTGGGATGGGCAGGTGGGACAGCACCTGCTCCTGCCAGGGCAGGCTGCAGAGGAGAAGGTGACACCACCTGGTGCCACAGGTGTGGTGCCAGCCCTGGGATGTGCCAGGCAGGATCCCAGCGGCCAGGCCAGGCTCAGCAGTGCCAAGACAAACCCTGCACCCCACAGAGCAGCAGCAAACCTGCAAACCCAGCCCAAAAAAACCCCAAAGCCCAGCATCACCTACCTCGAACCAGCAGCACCTCCCTGCTGGGTCTCCTTGGCAGGCGCAGTCCCACGGACCAGGGCTTGGATTTGGGGAAGTGCCTGAAGATTTTACGGATTCTCTTTGTCACAAGCCCGAAGCAAGTGGCTGCTCCTGCCCTCCCGTCCGTCATCCTCGGGACAGGGGGCCAGGAGCTCTCCAGGCACGTTCCAACCCCAAATGCTCTGGGACACAGCAAGCACCAGAGCAAGTTGTGTCTGCTCCCACGAGAAGCCTTTCCCCCCACGGAGATAAAGCACTGACATTGTCCATTTACAACCTGCTGCCATCTGCGGTTATTTATTTATTTTTTCTGAGCAGGGAGCGCAGCTCGGGGCTTGTGCATCTCCTGTAAGCCATGGAAAACTTTCTATTTCTGGGGCTTTTTGCTTGATAAGATAAAACAACCCAACGGAAGAGATTAGAGAGAGAAAGCACAGGACTCGGCTGTGTGCTGGGAGGTCTCCTCCCGGCATCCTCTCTTCTCCCTTTGCTGCTTTTCCTTGCAGTCTTTAAAAGTTTGAGGGATAAAAAAGTCCCCAGTGTTTCATCAGAGGTTAAAGGTATACAGTGAGATTAACTATATTTATAAAATTGATTTAAACTCTTGCACAGAGTTAAGAGAGGCTTGTAGAGCCTTTCACAGCATCCATGAAAATCTGGGCATTTTTAAGAACAGGGTGATGGGACAAGGGGGATGGTTTTAAACTAAAAGAGGAGAGATTTAGATGAGATATTGGCAATAAATCCTTCTCTAGGAGGGTGGGCAGGCCCTGGCACAGGGTGCCCAGAGCAGCAGATCCCTGGCAGTGCCCAAGGCCAGGCTGGAGCAGCCTGGGGCAGTGGAAGGTGTCCCTGCCATGGCAGAGGGTGGCATGAGATGAGTTTTGAGGTCCTTCCCACCCAAACCATTCCGTGGTGGAGCAGTTACAGCTGCACCAGGTGTCAAGGGATGGGGTGAGACACGAACACCAGTTTAACAAGGCCCCTGAAATCTGTCACCGTCCCCCTCTCTGCTCACCAACAGCATCCAGCACAACACAGGGAGTGACAAAGGTGGGATTTAACCACCCCGAGCAGCCAAAGCAAGGATTTATCTCGGGGAATTTCTCTGAGCACCTCCCTCCTTCCCACAGCCACGCCAGCAACCTGCACTGAGCTTCACTGGGCTGAAGCAGAGGGAGAAGCCCAAAAAACCAACCTGCAAGGTGAGAGCTGGAGCCTCGGCCGGTGCCTCTCTCCATAAACCCTTCCCAAGGCGCTGGAGGGAAATGCAGCAGGGAACATGACCCTGGCAGCCCTGAGCCACGCCAGGAGCCTGTCCCAGGGCTCTGGGCAGGTCCCTGTCCCTCCCCACTGCTCCATCTCCTCCCAGCGAGGAGCACGCCCTGCCTGGGGCACCCCGGACCCCACCCCGTCCTCACCCACCTGCCCGAGTCACCTGGCAGCAGGAAAAACCTCAGGAATCTGCCTGGATCAGCTAAATGGGACAGAAATGCAAAGCGCTGTGGGTCCTGTGAACTGTCAGCTATTATTGTTTACGGTGGCGAGACTGAGTGTGGGAGGATGTGGAGACACAAAAACCTCCGTGTCCCAAAAAGCAGCAGCGGGGTGAGCAGAGCCTCCTCCAGGTGAGCCTGGGCTCCCTAAAACACTCGGGAAAGAATTCCTTATCTTAAACAAACTGCTCCTGGGGAACCAGCAGCGTTAGAACTCAAGCTTGCCCTACAAATTAGAAAGAGAAATGGGGTTTTACCACCTCCCTCCTTAAGGAAATCGGGGCTGGCTCAGCGCAGAGCCGCAGTCAGAGCGAGCTGCTCAGGGCGGCTCCAGAGCAGAGGCACAAAACCCGTCTGGATTCTGAGCAGCTTTGCTGGGCTGGATCTGTGGGGCAAGATCTGCAGATCAAACGCTGGCTCCAGGTGTGACTGCGCCTGCAGAGGGGCTGGGCACGCTCTGAGCTTTCCCTCCAGGGCTGCCCACAGGGAAGCACGGGCAGCTGGGGTGGTTTTCTTGCAAAGAAACCCTTCAGCCAACAATGTGATGTTTTATCAACACAGATATCAAAATACTTGATTTTTGGTTATCAGAGACACCCAGAGCTAAGGAAGCACTTGAGCCATTCCCAGCTGGTGTCTGCCCAACCCTTCCCACCAGGAAGCTGCCCCAGCTCCGAGCCCAGCCTGGTTTCTGTGCTGTCCCAAAGGACACACAGAGGGCTTTGAAGCTGCATTAGTCACCAGGACACCCAAGAACTGCACCCAGACACCCCAGAGCATCCCTGCACCCTGCCCATCCAGCCCCCTGCTCCTCCCTGCCGGGAAAACCTGGCAGGAAAAGCTGTCCCCGAGCAGCAGGACAGACACCGACACCCCGACACGAGATTATTTACTTAACTGCAGCCTCAGCTCCGAGACGTGCCAGCAGCACAAAGCCACGCACATCACACAGGAGACATTCAAGGCACAGCCACTCGTGCCCAAATGCATTCCCTCCACGGCTGGAAACAAGGATTTTCAGGGAATGCCAGCAGGATTCACTCCCGAGCTCCCAGCTCGCCATCCTTTCACACTGGCACCGGTGGGGGCAGCACGATGGATGTCTGTCCTGCACAGAGCCTGGAACACCCCAAATAAAAGCAGGGGAAAAAAAAGGCTCCCATGTCTCAGGCAACACCTGCATCAGCCCCAGGTGCAGCAGCTACAGGCAGGACTTGGGTTAAAAATCAGACAAGATCCCCCTGAGCCTCCTTTTCTCCAGACTGAAGAGTAAATAATTATAATAAATAAATGCCACTTTCCCATTCTACTAAATACAACTAGATCTGATGTAAATAAAAATAGGCCAGAACTGTACAAACAAAAACCTGAGTATCCTCAGGCTGCAAGTCAAAAGCAAACAAGCAGCAACTCTGCATCAGAAAGAAAAAAAAATAAATGTTCAGCAAGCGGGGAGAGCATGCCCTGTCTGCAGCTCTCAGGCATTTTTAATGGGAATCACTATTGGGATGACAGGGAATGCAGATATGAGTGTCCCTCCCCCTCCATTCCAGTTGTTTGGGGAATTTTTGAGGCAGAACTACTCCCACAGTCTGCATAATTCTCTGAAATGAAAAGGGAAATAGAGTTCTTTAAAATCTGTTTCAATATAAGTATGGAAAACATCCTGCCAGAGGAGAAGTCGCTCAAAACAGCTATTTATACAGCATTTCACAACACCACAAAATCCTGTGAATTTGTACTTCAAATCAGGATTTAAAAGCACAAAAGCCAGGACCTCACCTCCCACCTGACCCCAGTTCCCAAGGTTTGACAACAGAGCCTCGGCAAAGTTTCTTCCCCTCAAATAAACCTTATTTCTCCTAAACTCGACATTTCTTTAAGCACGCTCATTCACACATTCCCCGCAGCGTGCCAGGAGCTCCCAGCCCTGGGCAATCACCTGGCCCTGAGCAGCTTTTGAGGGAATTCATCACGAACACCAGGCAGAAAGCAGAGGTGCACCCTAGAAATGAGATTTACATCTCCCTCCCAGGGTCCCACCGAGGTCCCAGCCCCGGCGTGTGCCCGTGTCACGTTGCGGTGGCGGCCGGGTTACATTTAATTAACATCGGGCAGGGTTAAAGCCTTAATGCGCTGCAGCGGGGCCATCTGGTGCTGCTGTCTGTGCCGATCTCTTCATCCCAAACGGCACCGAGAGCCCCGCAAATCCCCACCAGAAACGCAGAACTGGCTCGAAGTCTAAGGAAAGTCAAGCTTTAGGACCCGACCTGGCTGAGCCGGGCATTAATTGTCCCGGTGCTGCTGTATGTGCCCGGCACGGCGCTCCCAAACAACCCCAAAAATGAGCAGAGCCGCGTCCCCCATCCCCAGCCCGCTGTGGGACGCGGCTCAGCCCCAAATTATCACGGGCATCACCTCCCTGCCCTCCACACCCACACGGGTTACAGGTGATTTTATGGGCACAAACCTGCAGGGAATGGCATCGGCATTGACACCTTCTGCCAAAATTCAAGAGGCTCAGCTGACCCTGACCAGCAAATTTTCAAGTCCCTCAAGCCCCAGCAGCTGCATCCCAAAAGAGTTTTCCCCCAGCCTGAGAGGCTGTGCTGGACAGGAGCGGTTTCACAGCCACCAGGGCACAAATCCCCAAATTATCAGTGACACAAATTTGCTAAAAACCTCCTCGTTCCCCTCCTGCAGCACCAAACACGGGTCACACCTCGCCAGGGAGCGGGAGCAGCACTCGGGACAAGGGACACGGCGCGGGTGGCACTGCCAGCCCCAGCTGGGTCACCTCGGGCCCCTCCTGCCCCTTCCCACACAGGGAGAGGGTGAATCTCTCCGCAGAGCACGAACAGCACCGGAGCAGCACGGATCCGACACCAGAACACCTCGGTGCCTCTCACCGCCACAAATTCCCTCACCCCAGCAGTTTGGGCAGAGCTTCAGGCCAACTTACAAATTCTGGAGGACTTTACCCCTCACTGTAAAAGCTTTACAAACACGAACCCTCCCTGCTCACCGCGAGCTGCCGATGCCAACCCCGCCCATGAGCCGCTCATCTCCTTTTTCCTGGAACGGCTTCATTTTCCAAACCCGCCCGGCAGCACCCGGAGACCCCGGCCCGCTCCCTCCCCATGCGCAGCCCCCGGGACTCCCCCGGGGGGACCCGGCAGGGACCAAAGCCGGAGCTGAGGGCGCAGAGCTGGGGCGAACGCGAGGGAGAGGGTCCGGGAACGCAGAGTAAAGGATGCGGGACGGCAACAGCGGGCGGGGATGCAGGGGAAGGGATGCAGGACAGGGGTCCAGCACAGCGAGGGACAAGCAGGGGACAGCAGGACGGGGCCAGCAGGACGGGGCCAGCACTCACAGTCGCAGCGCAGGGCGCGCTCCCGCACCGCCTCCCCGCACAGGTCGCACCATCCTCGGCGCGGCAGCCGCGGGGCGAAGCGGTGCCCGCGGCCGCGCTCGGGGGGATCCCGCGGCGCCCCGAAGATGCTCCGCACGTCGGGCAGCGACCTCGGGGCTCCCCCGCGCCGCCGCAGCCTCCTGGCAGCCCGGGCCCCGCCGGGGCTCGCCGGGGAGCGGCCTCCCGTGGGGGCATGGAGCCGGGGCATGGAGCCGGGCTCGGGGGGCGGCAGCGGGCGGGGGCACGGCCCCACGGCCGGCGATGCCATGGGCTCGGAGCGGCGGGCGCGGGGCAGCGCAGGCGCCTTGG